ATGTATTTATTTCTAGTCTTGTGTTTACACTTGTGTAAACTATTTATTTATTTGAGATGGAGTCTTGTTCTCTCACCCAGGCTGTAGAGCAGTGGTGCAGTCTTGGCTCACTGCAACCTCCACCTCTTGGGTTCAGGCAATTCTCCTGCCTCAGTCTCCTAAGTATCGGGGATTACAGGCCCCTGCCACCACGCCTGGCTAATTTTTGTATTATTTTTAGTAGAGATGGGGTTTTACCATATTGGCCAGCCTGGTCTTGAATTCCTGACCTTGTGATCCACCCGCCTCAGCCTCCCAATGTGCTGGGATTACAGGTGTGAGCCACTGTGCCTGGCATATTTATTTATTTATTTAGACAGAGTCTTGCTCTGTTGTCCAGGCTGGAGTGCAGTGGTACGATCTCAGCTCACTGTAACTTCTCCCTCCCGGGTTCAAGTGATTCTCCTGCCTCAGCCTCCCGATTAGCTGGGATTACAGGCATGTGCCACCCACCATGCCTGGCTAATTTTTGTATTTTTAGTAAAGACAGGGTTTCACCATTTTGGTCAGGCTGGTCTCGAACTCCTGACCTCAGGTGATCTATCTGCCTCAGCCTCTCAAAGTGCTGAGATTACAGGCGTGAGCCACTGTACCTGGCTCCGGCAACTTTTTAATAGCAGCTTTATTGAAATATAATTCACATACTGTGCATTTCACCTATTAAAGTGTACCTAGTTTAGTGGTTTTTAGTGTATGCAGAGTGGTGCAGCTATAGCCACAATCAATTTTAGAACATTTTCATCACTCCAAAAAGAAGCCCTGTGCTCATTAGCATTCACTTTCCATTTTCTTCTAACCCACCTTTCCCCAACCCTATGCAACCAAAAATCTACTTTCTGTCTGTGTAGTTTACCTATTCTGTATGATACCAATGGGATCATACAATATGTGGTCTTTCTGTCACTGGCTTCTTCCACTTAGCATGTTTTCAAGGCTCAGTTATGTTGTATAGCAGGTCAGCATTCAGTAATATTTTGCTGTGTAATATTTCATTGTGGGGCTCTACTATATTTTGTTTATCCAGTCATCTGTTTTTTTGTTGTTGTTTTTGAAATAGGGTCTTGTTCTGTCACCCAGGCCAGAATGCAGTGGCGCCGTAATGGCTCACTGCAATCTCCCACTTCAGCCCCTGAGTAACTAAGACTACAGACACCGTCTGCCACACCCAGCTAATTTTTGTGTTTTTTTTTTATAGAGAAGGGGTTTCACCGTGTTGCCCAGGCTGGTCTTGAACTTCTGGGCCCAAGTGTCCTCCCAAAGTGCTGCAATTACAGGTGTGAGCCACTATGCCCACCCTACCCTGCCCTACCCATTTACTAGTTTTGATGGATATATTTGGTTGTTTCTACTATGATATAGTAAAAAATAGATAAATAGCCAGTCTGTTGGCTCATGCCAGTAATCCCAGCACTTTGGGAGGCTGAGGTGGGCAGATCACTTGAGGTCAGGAGTCCAAGACCAGCCTGGCCAACATGGTGAAACCCTGTCTCTACTAAAAATATAAAAGTTAGCCAGATGTGGTGGCACGCACCTGTCGTCCCAGCTACTCAGGAGGCTAAGGCAGGGAGATGGAGGTTGCAGTGAGCCGAGATTGTACCACTGCATTCCAGCCTGAGCGACAGAGCAAGACTCCATCTCAAAAACACAAAAAAATTTGGTCTTTATCTGGCCAAAAGGACCTGAAATAAAAATAAATAAAAAATTTGGTCTTTATACCCTGTTTCTTGCACATTAGCTCCCAAAACTCTTGGAACCGCTGGAGTGAAAAGAGATTTTTGTATGCTAATGAGTCAACTGGTGTCTAGAAGCCCCTAGGTAGCTTCCTTCTGGGCTGGTTGCCAGAAGGACCGAGGCATGTGATTGGAAAAACATTTTTTCCTTCTTTATACTCCTTTATATTCATGCTACTCTCAATACTTTTGATACCAAACCATATAGTAGGAGAAAACAAGCTGTTTTCTCATACTGTACTCTAAACACAGAACACTTCTGTGACTAGATGGTGTGGGTTTTTTTTTCCTGAACGGAGCAATTCTGCTATTCTCAGCAGACATCAGTTAGATGCTCTAAAATTGTCCTCAGTTCTGACAGTAACCTGCGTTCGCATAGACCCCACAGGTGAGGGGCTCACTTCCACAAGACTGCCTCCCACTTAAGATGCCAACCAGGTAGTAGGTCTCTGGATGAACCACAACAGCTGTTAGTCTTGGCTACAAATTGAAGGTTCCCAGACCTCCTTCCCTGGGTTTGATACTTTGCTAGGGGGCTCAAATAACCCACTAAAAGTGTACTTACTTTATTATAAAGGATATTTTAAAGGATGCAAGTGAACAGCCAGATGGAAGAGATACGTAGGGCAATGCCTTCTCTAGCACACCCCTCCCCACATCACTTCTATGTGTACAGCAACCTGGTTGCCTTCCAAACCCCATTTTTGGGGGGTTTTATGGAGGTCTCATTACATATGCATGATTGATTGAATCATTGGCCACTGGATATTAACAACTTTCAGTCCCTCTCCCCTCCCTGGAAGTTAATGGTAAGTGAAGTGCCTTCCTGAGTCATATTAGCAGATAATCAAACATGAGGCCCTCCTTAGGGGGATTTTGGGATCCCCCCGTTAATAGCACATTGGTCAGAAGTACAGGTGGAAACCTGGGACTTGTGACTGGCACCTGCAGTGGAGGCAGTGGCCTTAACCTGTAGTGCTATGCTAATTCTGGGTAGTGTCAGAAATGAATAGTAGGTTACCCAGTTGGTGTCAGAACTGGTTGTTGGCATGGAAAAAGCCCAGAAATTTGGTGTCAGTAGTGTTGTGAGTAAAAACAATTCAGACCACTTTTTTGGGGGACGGTAGAACAGTCTCGCTGTGTTGCTCAGGCTGGAATGCATTGGTGTGATCTCAGCTCACTGCAGCTTCCGCCTCCTGTGTTCAAGTGATACTTCTGCCTCAGCCTCCTGAGTATCTGGGATTGCAGGAGTGCACCACCACACCCAGTTAAATGTGTATTTTTAGTAGAGACTGAGTTTCACCATGTTGGCCAGGCTGGTCTTGGACTCCTGACCTTAGGTGATCCACCCATCTCGGCCTCCCAAAGTGCTAGAATTACAGCTGTGACCCACTGCACCCAGCCCCCTTTGCCTATTTTTTTTTTTTTTTGAGACCAAGTCTGGCTCTGTCACCTAGGCTGGAGTACAGTGGGCCATCTTGGCTAACTGCAACCTCTGCCTCCTGGGTTCAAGCAATTCTCCTGCCTCATCCTCCCAACTAGTGGGGACTACAGACACCTGCAACCACGCCCAGCTAATTTTTGTATTTTTAGTAGAGATGGGGTTTCACCATGTTGGTCAGGCTGGTCTCCAACTCCTGACCTCAGGTGATCATCCCATCTTGGCCTCCCAAAGTGTTGGGATTACAGGTGTGAGCCACTGCACCTGGCCTACCTTTGCCTACTTTTATTTTGTATTTATTTATTTTTGAGATGGAGTTTCGCTCTTGTTACCCAGGCTGGAGTACAGTCACACCATTTTGGCTCACTACAACCTCTGCCTCCTGTGTTCAAGCAATTCTCCTGCCTCAGCCTCCCAAGTTGCCGGGGTTACAGGCATGCACCATCACGCCCGGGTAATTTTTGTGTTTTTTGTAGAAACAGGGTTTCACCATGTTCCTCTGGCTGGTCTCAAACTCCTGGGCTCAAGCAATATTCCTGTCTCAGCCTCTCAAAGTTCTGTCATTACAGATGTGAGCCACTGTGCCCTTCTCACTTTCTTTTTGGTGATCTTTGAAGCACAAAAGTTTTTAATTTTAATAAAGTATAATATAGATTTTTTTCTCTAATTGTATGTACATTGGTTTCTTATTAAGAAACTTTACTAATCTAAAGCCAGAACTTTTTACACCTGTGTTTTCTTCTAAGAGAAACAATCTTAGCTCTTATATTTAGGGTTTTCATCTATTTTGATGTAATTTTTCTACATGGAGTGAGATAGGACTCTGTCTTTATTCTTTTGTGTGTTGATGTCCATTGGTCCCAGCATCATTTGTTGAAAAGCCTGTTCTTTAGCCCATTGAATTATCCTGGCATTCTTGTCAATATCAGTTGACCACTAATATGGAGTTTATTTCTGAACTCTGAATTCTAGTTCATTGATCTATGTGTCTGTCCTTATGCTAGTTCTGTAGTTTTGATTACTATAGTAATCAAGGTATTTCAACTTTGTTTTTCTTTTCCAAGATGTTTTGGCTATTCTAGGTGTTGGGTTTCCGTATGAATCTTAGGATAAGCTTGTCTTGTTTGTTTGTTTGTTTGTTTGTTTGTTTGTTTGAGACAGAGCGTCACTCTATCACCCAGGCTGGAGTGCAGTGGTGCATTCTCGACTTACTGCAACCTCTGCCTCTTGGGGTCAAGTGATTCTCCTGCCTCAGCCTCCTGAGTAGCTGGAACTACAGGTATGCACCACCATGCCCAGCTAATTTTTATATTTTTAGTAGGGACGGGGTTTCGCCATGTTGGCTAGGCTGGTCTCGAACTCCTGGCCTCAAGCGATCCTCCCACCTTGGCCCTACCCTATTTTTAAAAAATAGTTTTCTCAGCTTTGTACTCATGTCTGACACATCACTGATATTTGTGATGCTTTAGTTGGTTTCGAGCTTCCTAAGTTCCTGAGGTCTAACTCTCACATCCCTGAATGATAGAACTCCCTGCTGTGTAATACCCAATGTGTCCTCTATTTTAGTACTAAAAGGACTGGATGTAAATGTTTGTTTCAGTGTTTCTCTTCTACTGTTTCTTGAGAACATAGATTACAGATTGTATTCCACTCCCTTACACAGTGTCTAACATATGAGAGACACTAGGGAACTACTTGTGGAATGAGTAAATGAGTGTTTTATTCTTTGCTTTTCTGGAAACTAATTTGTTGGCTTTTTTTTTTTTTTTAATTTTTTCCTGGGTTCCAAGGAGGAAGCATCTCCCTATTCCTTACTCGATATCTGCTTGAATTTCTTGACTACTCACCTTGAGAAGTTCTGTTCAGCCAGACAAGATGGAACATTGTGTCTGCAGGAACCTGGAGTATTCCCACAGGAGGTGGCTGATCGACTGCTTCGGACCATGGCTTTTCATGGTAACAAAAAAAAAAAAACAGAGGAAATAAAAATTATGTGCTGTTAATTGGCATTGGATTTTCAAGTGCTACAGTGGCCATTTAATTATTTTCTTAGAAATAACTGAGAAGGCCTGATTCCAGGAATAGGAATTCATTTATTTTTACCTATCTTGCCTCTTACTGTGTAATTTAGAATGAACATTTTTCTTTCTTTTTTTTTCTTGACAGGGTCTCACTCTGTTACCTATGCTGGAGTGCAGTGGTGGAAACACAGCTCACTGCAGCCTCAACCTCCTGGGCTCAAGTGAGCCTCTCACCTCAGCCTCCTGTGTGGCTAGGACCACAAGCGTGTGCCACCACAGCTGGCTAATTTCAACATTTTTCATTTCTAATGGGACAAACCTTTCTTTCTTTCTTTTTTTTGTTGTTTTTTTTTTTTTTTTTTTACTCTGAGAAGTCTTTTTGTTTGTTTGTTTTTTAAGAAACAAGGTCTTGTTTTGTTGCCCAGGCTGGAGTGCACTGGCACAAAACTCCTGGGCTCCTGTGATCCTCCTGATTCAGCCTCCTGAGTAGCTGGGACTACAGCTTGGCTAATATTTTTATTTTTGTAGAGGTAAAAATGTTCTGTTGCCCAGGTTGGCCTTAAACCCCTGGCCTCATGTAATCTTCCAACCTTGGCCTACCAAAGCAGTGGGATATAGGCATGAGTCACCACGTTCAGCTGAGAAGTCATTCTTACGTCAGAAATAACTCCTGTAACTTATATCCATTTATAGGTTTGCCAGGATGAAATACCTTACATCTTCATTTGACAGTGGAAGGATCATTATTGTTATAGAAAAACTGATTTCTGCTTTTGACCTTTGTAATGGGAAATCACAGCCAATTTAGTACTTCGGTTTTCAAAAACCAATTCTGAGGCTGGGCACGGTGGCTCATGCCTGTAATTCCAGCACTTTGGGAGGCCGAGGTGGGTGGATCACAAGGTCAGAAGTCCAAGACCAGCCTGGCCAAGATGGTGAAACCCCATCTCTACTAAAAATACAAAAAAATTAGTCAGACACAGTAGCAGGCACCTGTAATCTCAGCTACTTCGGAGGCTGAGGCAGGATAATTGTGTGAACTCAGGCAGCAGAGGTTGCAGTGAGACAAGATCGTGCCAGTGCACTCCAGCCTGGGCAATAGAGTGAGACTCTGTCTCAAAAAAAAAAAAAAAAAGACAAAAACCAGTTCTGAAAATCAGCGGGGAAGGTCTTATCTGTGTAGTTTTGCTTATGCATGGAGTATATTTGTTACTTCAAATTTTAATTTGAAAGAGATATACCTTTATATCTTTACAGTTTGTAAACTCGTATGTATGGAATATGATTTATTCACAGCTATAGAAGAGAATGAAAATTTGGCAATAATAATAGCTATCATTTATTGAATGCCTATGTACCAGGCATTTTACATAGATTTTTGTGGGATTTTCTCAACTCTATAAGGTAGCTATTATCATTCCCATTTACATTCAGATAAACTGAGGTTCAGAGAAGTAACTTGCTGAGGGTCATACGGTAAGTAAATAGTGGAGTACTAATTCATGTGCAGATCTGTCCAATATTAAATATATGCTCATCCCACGTGCCACACAGCCTTCCTAAACCTATATTAGAGATATCCCTGCTCCCGGATGCCAGATATGGTTTATACTTTGCTGTGATTTTATATATATAAAACTATCAAGTATAAATGCAAATACTGTGTTCCAAGGAAGAGTAGGATGAAATGAGGCTGTAACTGAGGCATTTTGGAATAATTTAGGAAAGAAGAAGACCTCTACATTCATTGGCTTTCACAAAGTTCCTCATGCCTGCAGTCTCCTTGAATTTTTCCAACCTGTCATAGGAAAGAGGGTAAATTTCAGTAAGTATTATATATATTAAAGTTAAAAGTCCCTTAGAAAGCTGCGTAACAATTTAAGAGATTATGCCAGTGCTCACATTTCTTTCTAATCTCAATTTAACGGTTATCCTCAGTATATTATTATTTATGTATTTGTTTTGAGATGGAGTCTTGCTCATTTTCCTAGGCTGGAGTGTAGTGGCACACTCTGAGGTCACTGCAACATCTGCCTCCTGGGTTCAAGTGATTCTCCTGCCTCAGCCTTCTAAGTACCTGGGACTACAGGTGCCCACCACCATGCCTGGCTACTTTTTGTATTTTTAGTAGAGACGGGTTTTCACCATGTTGGCCAGGCTGGCCTCGAACTCTTGACCTCAGGCGATCTTCCCAGCTCAGCCTCCCAGAGTGCCGGGATTACAGGCATGAGTCCCCACACCCGGCCAGTGTTCAATATATTAGATTAAAAAAAGAAAACAAGTCTTGTAAATCAAAAGAAGAAATGCTAAGGCTTTAACTTTGCCAGATTCAGTTACCCTTTTGAAATGTAACTACTGATAGCTAATAATACTAACTAACATTTATTGAATGCTTATTATTATAAGTCATACACTGTAGCAAATGCTTTATATGGGTAAGATAATAGGACTGGGTTTTTTTTGTTTTGTTTTTGTTTTTTTTTTAAATGGAGTTTTGCTGTTGTTACCCAGACTGGAGTGCAATGGCAGGATCTCGGCTCACCGCAACCTCTGCCTTCTGGGTTCAAGCAATTCTCCTGCCTCAGCCTCCTGAGTAGCTGGGATTATAGGCATGCATCACCATGCCCAGCCAATTTTTGTATTTTTAGTAGAGACAGGGTTTCACCTTGTTGATCAGGATGATCTCGATCTCGACCTCGTGATCCACCCGCCTTGGCCTCCCAAAGTGCTGGGATTATAGGCGTGAGCCCCCGCGCCCAGCCAGGACTGGGTTTTAAAAAGCAAGTCTAACTAAATATTCTTCCTTAGAGTAATGTCTTGGAGAGGCTACATGCTTGAAATGTATTTTCTTTTTTTTTTTTTTTTTGAGACAGAGTTTCGCTCTTGTTACCCAGGCTGGAGTGCAATGGCGCCATCTCGGCCCACTGCAATCTCCGCCTCCTGGGTTCAGGCAATTCTCCTGCCTCAGCCTCCTTAGTAGCTGGGATTACAGGCACGCACCACCATGCCCAGCTAATTTTTTGTATTTTTAGCAGAGACGGGGTTTCACCATGTTGACCAGGATGGTCTCGATCTCTTGACCTCGTGATCCACCTGCCTCGGCCTCCCAAAGTGTTGAAATGTATTTTCTACCTCTTTTCAGACTGCCTTCAGATGAGGAAACTGAGGATCAGAAAAATAACTTGTTTCCCCTAATTGTGTTACCCCAGTGTGATTACCTGTCTTATTCATAAAGAAGGCTTCTGAATTATTTAATCTCTTTATAAAATTATATCCATTGTCAAACAAGATTGATACTACTGAGAAAATGCAAAAGAACATGTTGCCAGTTCTTGTCTGAATTTGTAAAAGTTGCTTTATACATTTTTCTGTGTGTTTGAAAATGTTTATAATGGGAAGAAAGTTATTTGATTGACACTTTTATTTTTTATTTATTACTATTATTATTTTTTTCTTGAGACAGAGTCTCGCTCTGTCACCCAGGCTGGAGTGCAGTGGTGCCGTCTCGGCTTACTGTAACCTCTGCCTTCCAGGTTTAAGCAGTTTTCTTGTCTCAGTCTTTGGAGTAGCTGGGGTTATAGGCACGTGCCACCACACCTGGCTAATTTTTTTTTTTTTTTTAAGACTAAGTTTCGCTCTGTTGCCCAGGCTGCAGTGCAGTGGCTCAATCTCGGCTCACTGCAACTTCCACCTCCTGGGTTCAAGCAATTCTTCTACCTTAACTTCTGGAGTAGTTGGGACTAGGCGCATGTTGTCATGCCTGCTTAGTGTTTTATATTTTAGTAGAGATGGGGTTTCACTGTGTTGCCCAGGCTAGTTGCGAACTCCTGAGCTCCAGCAATCTGCCTGCCTTGGCCTCCCAAAGTGCTGGGATTACAGGCATGAGCCACCACACCCAGCCAATTTTTGTATTTTTTTTTTTTTCAGGAGAGATGAGGTTTCACCATGTTGGCCAGGCTGGTCCTGAACTCCTGACCTCAAGTGATCTACCCGCCTTGGCCTTCTAAAGTGCTGGGATTACAGGCATGATCCACTGTGCCCAGCCTTGTGAATACTTTGAAAATTGTTAATATCATACTTTCTCTCTCTTTTTTTTTTTTTGAGATGGAGTTTCACTCTTGTTGCCTAGGCTGGAGTGCAGTGGCGCCATCTCAGCTCACTGCAACCTCTGCCTCCTGGATTCAGGATATTCTCCTGTCTCAGCCTCCTGAGTAACTGAGATTACAGGCATGTGTCACCATGCCTGGCTCATTTTTTGTATTTTTCGTAGAGATGGGGTTTCTCCATGTTGGTCAGGCTGGTCTCCAACTCCCAACCTCAGGGATCCACCTGCCTGGGCCTCCCAAAGTGTTGGGATTACAGGCGTTAGCCATGCGCCCGGCAATATTATACTTTTTAAAATAACATATCGATTCTAGAAAATGCTTAATGTATACATTTAAAATGTTTTACTTATTTACTCAATGCAAAGAATTAATGATATTGTTAGCAGTTGTCTTTCTGTGTGTTAAAAAATTTTCTTTTTCTTCATTTATTTTTATTTTTTGTAGAGACAGGGTCTTGCCATGTTGCCCAGACTGGTCTCGAACTGCTGTCCTCAAGGTAGCCTCTTGCCTTGGGCTTCCAAAGTGCTGAGATTACAGGTGTGAAACAACATGCCCCGCCTTTTTTTTTGAGATGGAATCTCACTCTGTTGCTCTGGCTGTAGTGCAGTGGTATAGTCTTAGCTCACTGCAATCTCTGCCTCCTGGGTTCAAGTCATCCTCCTGGCTCAGCCTCCTGAATATCTGGGACTACAGGCGCCCAACACCACACCCAGCTAATTTTTGTATTTTTAATAGAGACAGGGTTTCACCATGTTGGCCAGGCTGGTCTCGAACTCCTGACCTCAAATGATCCTCCTGCCTTGGCGTCCCAAAGTGTTGTGATCATATG